TAACGGAAACCCAGCTCATCCACCCTTCCACTGTCCCTCAGGAAGGTCCGGAGGACATTCTCTTCAACACAACTGTGTGACTAGTGTCCCTGAGCTTGTGGTGGTTACTCTCTGTGGGACAGAAATGAACGAGGGAAATGCTGCCGTGAAACAGGGCTCCTGGCTCAGTGAAATGACGGGATTCTCAACGGCAAGGACGCTGTAGCAGCCTTCAACCTCAAAGACGCTGTGGGCATGATGACAGGGAGGAGAAGGATGGACAGTGGCGACCAGAAGAGTCTGCCCTGAGAGACTGCTGGGCTCTGCTGGTTTGACCATCGCCTCCCTAGAACTGAAACAGATGGGTAGCCAACTGCAGCCTTTCTTGGTCTGCTGGAGGAGGAAGACCAGCGAGCCTGCGAACAGCAGTCTGACTTCGCTCACCACAAAAAAGAGTCTTGGCCCTTCCACCAACTCTTAAACTCGAGCCAGTTCAGCCTCTGAGCCCCTGAATGAAGAAATGAAGGAAGGTGGGGCAGGGCCTTTTGAAGAAGGACCCTGCTATGCCTCCACAGACACTTCCGCATGGCCTTTTCCCAAGGGCCTGTGAAGAGGCAGCAGGCAGACTGTGTGATGGCACATCCAGGCACTTTTGGGATTACCAGACACTGCTGAACTGACAAATTCCCAGAACCCTCAAATACCACAGTGGACCACCAACCAGAGGAGTGAGGCCACCAGTCAAGTTCTGGAGTGGGCTCTCACTGTGGGCTCTGCATGTCCACCATCTTCCCCTGAGGCTATCTCCTGGTTCTGGCATGCATAATTGGGATAGACACATCGAACAACCGGCCAAATCCTTACTCTGGCTCTCTGACAAGGTTACAAAAGACCAAATGATGTCTGACAAAAGAGAGCAAAGGTAAAGCAAATGTCTGACTTTTCCCTTTAGTCTATTTTTTTAGAATGAGTTGGTTCCATAGCATCTTCCAAAGGGACTAAAGACTTTTCTCTTTATATCATTTTGAAATAATATTTGATATGTTTCAATCTACTGCAGATATGCTTTTGGTGTTCAAATTGCCCCACATGGGCCAGTGGGAGCCTCAAGCTGGTTCCTGCGTCCTTGACATGACCCCAGTAATCTTGATACCGTCTCTTTGCTCTTTGCTATGAAAAAGTGTTTTCTAGGCTTATCTTGCACTTTCCTGTCTCAAATCAGTAATCAATTGTTTCTCTAAGGAGTCCTAGTTTCTTTCAGGAGACCTCATTGCAACAGAGTACTGGTCTTGCTTTCACTTGGTTCACTGAAAGGACCAAGCTAGGAAATGCACGTGGTTAAGAGAGGATTGCACATCTTGAGTGCATATACTCATATTTCCAATTCCAATTTTAAACTAGAAGTTCATTAAATTTCTTTGAATTCCTTTTCTTTTATGATGAAAATTTGGGTTCTTAAAGACTTTTAATAATAACTCAACTGCTTTATCCTATAATTATAAGTTTCAGGACACCACCAAAATTATTTCTAATGAGACTAGCAAAAACGGTTCATGATTTTTTGCGTTTTCTTTTATCCTCAGGAAATACAATCTAATTACTATGATTAATATCACTTGAAATATTTCATCTGTGTAGTTAAGCCATTGACTTCCTATACAATTAAGTTAATTTGTTTAATTTTACTTTTGATTTGTAGGTATTTTTTTTTTAAAAAAACTGATTGAATTTGAAAAATAATGATATAAACATTTACATGGTTCCAGAGTTAAGCTTATAAATCTATAACACAGGAATCATTCAAAGAAGTCTAGCTTTCATTCGCCCCTTTCTCCTCTCCTAGATTATCACTTAAATTATTTTTGGCTCACCTCTTCATTTTTAAAAACAGAAGTGTGTGTGTGTGTGTGTGTGTGTATCTGAATGTGTGCATATACATATAACACATTTGTTTACATATATACATATATATGAACACACACTCACCACCACCCGCCCTTTTTACCCTTAAAGGGCAGAGTACTACACATACTGTTATGCTACTTGTTTTCTTTTACTTACTATATTTCAGGTATAGCTCCATGTGCCAGGATTCTGATTGCAATTATACTGGATTTTTAGGTAAATTGGTGGGAAGGGGGATGAACATAATTATAATATTTAGTTTCCTGATCAATTAACATGGTTTACGGCTCTATTTACTTAGGCTATCTTTAATTACTCTTAATATTATTTACAGTTTTCAAATAAAAGTCTTAAACATTTTTAGATTTATTCCTGGGTATTTGATTGTTTGATGCAATTATACATTTTACTACTTTAAAACTTTTAAAGTTTTACTTTTGAAATGTTTGTTAGTAGTATGTAGATACACAACTGGCTTTGTATATGCACCTAATAATTATCTATCAATTATTTTGGACTTTTACCATATTTGATCATGTTGTCTGTTAGGGATGACCGTTTTCTCTTTATCTTTCTAGTTGGTCAACCTTTTATTTCTTTTTCTTGCCATAGTGCATTGTTGAGGACTTCAGTACAGGATTAACAGAAGTGGTAACAGTGGACTTCTTTGTCACCTTCTCAATCTTCAAAAGAATGTTGCTAACATGTTATTTTCTGCTATTATGAATAATGTTTGATGTAGAATAAATACCTCTATAAAACTAAGGAAATTCTGTTCCTGGTTTGCTAGGAGATATTTTGGAAAAAACCATGAATGAATATTAAATGTTATCAGATGCTTTTTTCTGCACCTACTGAAAAGACCTTGCAATTTTTCTCTTTTAATAAGTTAACATGGTAAATGATATGAAGTGATTTTCTAATGTCATATCAACTTTGCATTTCTGAGATAGAGCCAAGCTGGTAATAATTTTATTGTTACTTCTTTAGTGCTTTAGTAGCTGCTTTTAATAATTCACTTCCCTTTTTTAGTTGTGGTGGAGGGTTAGGCTGAATTGTATGGCTCACCATTAGCTAAACAGAGATTCTCTTTCATTCTGTCTTTCATTCCCAGGCCCACCAAGGCTCCTCGTTCTATGGTTGACAAAGATGACCACATGGTGCCAAAGTTAAAAGTTCCTTTTTAGTCCTCACCTTACCCAGTCAATTAATAATGGCTTGTTATAAAACAAAATGACTAAGAGCACATTGTCTTGACCCAAACTGAATCTGAATCCAGGATCTGTCATTTCATTAGCTATGTGATTTTGTCTTTCACCTCCCTTGCCTCACTTTCCCTATCTATAAAACATAATTAATAACGTTAAATACTTTGTAGGGCTGTTGCGAAGGTTCATTAAGAATATCCAAGTTGCTTAGGACAAAGCACACATTGAGTGTTCATTAAATATCACCCCTTATTGCTCATTCCCTTTCTGAATGTTTCTTTCTTTTTTTTGAGATAGGGTCTTGCTCTGTCACTCAGGATGGAGTGCAGTGGTGCCATCATAGTTCACTGCAGCCTCAAACTTCTGGGCTCAAGGAATTCTCCCGCCTTAGCCTCCCAAGTAGCTGGGACTACAGGTGCACAACACTACACCTGGCTATTTTTAAAAACTTCTTTTAGAGACAGGGTCTCACTATGTTGTCCACGCTGGTCTCAAACTCCTGGCCTCAAGTGGTCCTCTCACCTCAGCCTCCAAAGTGCTGAATTACAGATGTGAGCCACCCTGCTCAGCTTGATGTTTTTTAAAGCATCATTTTGTATTGATTTCCACTTCCCTGGATATACTTCTGAGAAAGCGACTTTCAGTGGAATCTTCATTTCCCTAAACTTTGCATTTTGGAACTCAGTCCTCAGGCAGGTTCACTTCACATCTATTCTGTTTTGAACATGTTCTCACCCCATGACTTTAAAAGTCATGTGTACGTCAAGAATTCACAAATGAGCTGGGCTCGGTGGCTCAGCCTGTAATCCCGTGCCTTTGGGAGGCTGAGGTGAGTGGGCTGCCTGAGCCCGCGGGTTTGAGACCCACCTGGGCAGCGAGACCTCATCTCTACAATAAAAATCAAAAAATCAGCTGGGCGTGGTAGCGCATACCTGTAATTCCGGCTACTCAGAAGGCTGAGGCGGAAGGATCGCCGGAGCCCGGCAGGTCGAGGCTGCGGTGGCCGGGAGCGGCTACTGCACTCCAGTCTGGGCGACTGAGTGAGACTCCAACTCAAAAAAAAAAAAAAAAAAAAAAGAATACACAAATGTACAGCTCCTACTGCAATCTCTCCCCGAATGCCCATCTTATATACACACTGACTGTTTGGTACTCTTACCTACATGACAGAAGGACCCAATATGGCCCAAAGCATCATTTTAGGATTATCTGCAACCCTTCAAGCACTGACTAAGCCTTACCATGCTGAACTTGGACCAGGGCAGCGTAGATATTCTAATCTATTATAACGCCTTCCCCTTCTTCTACCCTGATCTCAACAGTCTATTCTTTTTTTTTTTTTTTAACACACTTTATTTCTAGAGCAACCTCAAGTGTACTGCAGTCTTCTCTGCACACAGTGGTCAAAGTCATCTGAAGACTCAGCCTAAGGGCACCACCTTGACCAAAGCCCTCCAGCCTTATTCCCAGCATGAGGCCCTGCCTGCCCAGCTCTTTGGCAGAGTTTCAAGTTCTTTCTGGGGAAAGGTCGGCAAGCTTTTCCTTAAAGGGCCAGAGAGCGCAAATATTCTTTCCTTAAAGGGCCAGAGAGAACAAATATTCCAGGCATTGTAGGCCAGGTGGGTTGTACTTTACATATGGTCCACTGATATGCAGATGGTACTGACTGCACGGACATGTTCAATAAAAAATTACTGCATGAAATATGCATGACATTTACAAAAAATACAAAATTTGTTTTGGTTTATAAAGCTTAATATCCGTATAGGAGTCCAATTAGTATTTGCTGAATAAAAATGTAAGGTTCAGAATTCCACACTTTTGCACAAAGCTCATAGCGAGGGCGGTCACGCTAGGCGACGTCGTCTTCTGCAGACCGCGCCGACCAGAAGACAGGGCAGAACGTACCTCAGGCTGCCGACTCGGGCCTCGGTGCTCGCCGCCAGCGTCTTCGTCTCTTCTTTCCACCTGCTAGCCGCCTTCTGCTGGGCTGCCAACAGCCGCCTCAGCTCCACGGTGGAGTTCCAGCTACTGTCTTCCATCTCTCTCAGCTGGACCGCAAAGCCGCGCTCCTTTATCGAAAATTCTTGCTCCATTGTGCTGATCTGAGGAACGAGACGGACACAGTGTCTTCCTTTTCCTTCCTGTTATCTTAGGTGCACTACTCACCAGTGACACATATGCTAGGAATCACTCAGTGTGTGTGGAGGTAAAGAAAGTCTGGATGAAAAATCTATGAAGAAAGCAAGCTTACGATTTGTCTTCACAAACGAAAACTGTATTACAATATAAATTTAGTTAAGATTAGAATTATGATAAACTACAGTTTTTTGAATTTCCCTGACACTTTAAAATGCCAGCAGGAGAAAGGCAACTGTCTAAGATAAAACTGCTTTCTTTATCTACTCTTATTTTGTTTGCCAGAATCCTAGGAAAGTGTTCACGCTCCTGCTACCTGGGTTAGCTTTTACTCAAACCGCTTTTGATGCATATACTAAATTTCAAACTGTCTTTCAAAGGGCTTTGCAAAGTCAAATAAAATTATATACAGAAATTATTTCCATCTCAGTGGCAGTATTAATGAACAATATGTTTGGTTTTTTTTCCAGAAAAAGCCACAATACAGATAATGATTTTCAGACTTTCATGTGGTTCAACATTTCTAAGAATTTATGTCATTAGAGCACAAGCACTTTAACTGCAGAATAAACACATACGTGAATGCTCCTTGGATACACTAGAAGCTTTCTCAACGAGGGCTCGGGGAAGGAATCCCTAAAGCTTTGAGGCCTCCAATGTATATGACAGACTGCCTCCTTGGCTGCATCTAGAACAGAGCTGCCTGTGTACCACCCTTGGGTAACTGAGAAAACAGTTACTGAAATAACTTGCTGTGTTTTGTGTTTCAGGTGGCAAACCTTGGTGGAAAGTTTCAGTGATCTGACTTCACTGGTATACTCTTGGGCCATTAATTTCGCTACACTAAAGAAATATTATAAAGAACACCCGTCTTGCAGTATTTTCAAGTAATATGCCTCAAAAATGGCCTCCATTGGCTCTGCTTCTAGTAATTCGTTAAATACGAGGGAGGACCCCCAAAACCCCGGACTCTCTTTTGGAGGGTGGGCCCCTTGTTATACACTCAGAATTTGTTCCTCTGGATCAAACAGCCAGCCATCTGGAAATTTTGAGACGGCCCCCTCACAATGTGCGAAAGAAACATCCCGAGTTGTGACAAGCAGATGACTGGTTCTCCCACCACGACGGTGCATCTGCTCACACTGCGCTGAGTGTGTAGCAGTTTTCGACTCCAAATGGCATGACCCCGTGCCTTGGCCCCTCCCATACACCTTCCTTTTTTTGCTCCCCCAGACGAAAACAGACCTTAAAGGGAAACGTTTGCCAATATGGAAGGGGCAATATAAAAAACAGCAGCAGCACTACAAGGTATCAAAACTGATGAGGTCAAAGACGGTTTTGAGCAGAGGAAAAAGCTTCTCGGCAGGTTTTTACATCAAACAGAGAGCTTCTGTCACAACAATCCCACCACGGTTGCAATTCAGGATGCCCCCCAAGAAAGCGGCTTCATGTCTCCCTCCCTGTTTCCTTTGTGCCCCCCCTCTGCAGAGAGATGCCCATCCTAGCAGACAGCAGGACTGCTGAAAACGACTCCATTTCTTCATTTCAGATGTTTATGAGGGGCATTTGGACCACAAGGAAATGGAGAGCCTTGGCAAGGAGGAGGAGGAGGAGGTGGGACGGGAGAAAGCTGGGCTGAAAGGCAAGCCGTGGCTGCGGGAGCAGATGGAAACCTTCCAGAGCTCACCACGAAGGTGTGTGGCCAACCAGATGCCCCACATCGCCCCAGCTTTACTTCTGCTGCTTTCAGTTTACTTAGAAGACGGCACTCTTCCGCAAGGGAGAGAAGAGAAGCGATGAGAGGACTGGCAGGAAGGCTGTGGGAGGAAGCCTCCTGGGGTGTCCACGTGCGGGTGGTGCCTTGGGCCACTATTCTGACCCCTTCTCCACAGGTGGAATAAGAGAGTATAGCCTTTTTAAAACGGTTGGCTTTTTGTTCAACACTAGGTCTGGGACGCTCACTCATCACTGCTTACAGATATAGCTCATTATTTTTCAATGCTATATTTACTCCACTATATGAGTACAATCTCAACGAAGGACTTTGGATTTTTTCAGTGTTTTCATCAAAACTTCTTGGAGTACTCTGGTACATGTTCTGGTAAACATAAGCACTCCTATCTGTTGTGTATGCAGCCAGGATTATTTGGCATAGGATGTGCGTGTGTCCGGCCTGAAAAGTCACCACTAATTGTGGTACTGATTTACATTCCCACCAGTACCACAGCAAAGTTCCAGTTCCTTCATGACCTTATCAACACTTGATTTCGCCAGACTTTTAAATTTAACCATTCTGGTAGGTGTGTAGTGTTACCTCGTAGCTTTAATTTGCATTTCCCTAAAAAAATAATGAGCTTTAACATACTGGCATACATTCCCTTTTATGAAGTGCTTGTTTTAAGTCTTTTGCCCATTTTCAGGAATAGTTTTTCCTTATTGACTATTAGTTGTTTTTCCTTACTGATAATTTTCTTATTAATTGGAAAGTTTTTATATTTTGGATATGAGTCTTCTTTATGGTTGTGTGAGTTACAAATACTTTCTCCTGCTTTTCGCTTTCTTAATGGTGTCTTTTGATGACTAAAAAGTCTTAATTTTAAAGAAATCTAATTCATCTACCTTTACATTATGATTAGTGCTTTTTGTGTTCTGTTTAAGAAGTCTTCTTCTACTGAAAGGCAGGCAGATTTTCTCCTAAACACTCCACTATTTGACAGTTCACATCTAGGTCTACAAGGCAGCTCAAGTTAAGGCAGCATATACGGTGTAAAGGTTGATTTTTAAAATATGCATCCAACTGATCTTTCACAATCTGTGAGGACAATCCTGACACCACTGAGTTTCAGTGGCACCTCTGCTATAAATCAGGTGTGGTTATGAAAAATGGGCTTGTTTCTGGACACTACTTTTGCCATTATCAATTTGGTTATTCTTGTGTTGATACCACACTGTCTTAATACTGTGGCTTTATATCAAGACTTGATATCTGGTAGTATGGTTCCTCTCCCTATTCTTTAAAGACTTCCTTTCAGTTTAAAGCACAAAGTACAATCTTCTTTGTAGATGAGATTCTCTTTTTCATTTCAGAGTCAAGTTTTTATACATAACTAAGTATTTTATATTTGCAATAGGAGGCACTCAATAATTAAATGCTTATATGAATCAGGTTGGAATACAACTACTTATGAGTCCTTGGAGCAATGAAAAACAAAATAAAACACTAACATTACCACTCCATATCCTTATGATGAAACTGGAAGATGTAGCTGTTTAGCATAAAGAGTTGGAGTCACTTTTTACGAAAATCTCATCGAATGGGGATAGGTAAACAAGATGCTGATGAGAACACCTGTGTTTTTTGAAATGCCCTTAAAAAGAGTATCACGCTCCTACCACAGAAGCATGGAAGCATTGGTGACGGAGGAACGGGGAGATAAAAGAAAGATAATTTTATTTCAGATGACCCCTGCCTCTTGCCTTTTTCAGTCATGGAATTTTCAGGCTGGCTGTGAGTGGTTCTCAGAGCATACTGATGGGACGTCCTCTATCCAGCTGGTTCAGAAAAGTTCAGTTTTTGAGAGGCTATTATACAGGGAGAAGGGAGGCAGTCTGTAAAGTTGTCTAGTCTATAGTTTTGTTAGTGCTGCTTAAATTGCTTTGGCAGGAATATCAGTGCATTTCATATTTAGAGAAGAATTTGTGTGTGTGTGGATAGCAGAGGCAATCATTTTCAAGTATGCCTGCCAAGTTCTACAATACAGAAGCGACTGGTTAGCACTCTGAATTATGCCTTCGTGCTATCTGGTGAGCAAAAAGGAAAAGGCCTTACACATGTTTTACTGGGTCTTTCTGAATATTCTCTACACTTTGATTTTCACAAGCACATATTTAACTCTAGTCTTGGAAATACCTTTAATTTGGCTTTTTTTTGTGCCTCCAGAGCAACCTTTCTTAAATCCTCAGTCTCTTTCCGTAACTGTTCATTTTCTTGCTGAAGTTGCAGCCTTTGTTCACTGACAAATCCACAGTTCTGTCTCTCAGACTCCAAAACATTTTGAAGTTTCTCAATCATTTCTTGGCAACGGGATATCTCTTCTGAGGAACTGATTAAAAAATGAAACAAAAAGAATCCTTAAACTCAATGATCTGTAGTACAAGACAAAAAGGCAGCCTACACTTCATGGCGTAGACTTCTGTTTGCTTGATTCAGAGCCATTTCTTTTCACTTTAGACATAAGCTATGTGATTTCAAAATGTTACGTTACACCAGGCAAACACATTCAACTTAATCATCCTAACTAAGAAGCCATAAACTAATCACTCATCTAGAAAATCAATGTGAAGCTTCTTTCAAATTTTTGCTGACACTGAGAATCACCACATAAGGAGGATGTAAAGGGAACGAGCTGAGGCCAACAGTGAAAAAGATAAAGTGGACACAATGAAAACTCCTTTACTTCACCAACAAGCTTTACAGAAAAACACGCTCACAGACCATATCACTAAATCACAATGGTAAGATCTACTTTTATATTTCCGCATTATATGTCTTAGAAATAGTTTTTAGGAACTGCTAATTCTGTAGACTTCTTGTTTTATCATAGTTAAACAGGCTATGTTTCCTGAACTTTCTCAACAACGGATCACTGGGTGAGACAACTTCTAAACATGAATGTTACACCAATCAATATACTGCTGATTTTTATCCCATCTATTAAAACTTCTTCAATCCTAAATAATCAAGCCCCGACAACATTCCCTGGTCAGTTAAGTGTCATAGGGAGTTGTAATATAAATGCTCCAAAAATTGTGAAGGGTTAAGAAAATGATTGGTTAAAAGTCTTTTGTAAGCAGAAGAATGCTAAAAGGAGCCACCTTCACAAGGTGGTGGTTTTCCCACCATGGAGCACATACCTATGATTCTTCTTGGGCGTGCTGATGTGCCCACCTCTGTCAGTGCTTCAGGTGAACGTGGCCAGTGATTTCTGACTGCTCCCTCCCGACTAGGTCTTGGCTTCCCCGGCTCCTCCCATATCATTGTAAGCTCCGATTCCTACATTACACCCTTTATTTCCAGAATACCCATAGCTCTTTTTCCTGTCTAAATCTTGGCTGACAAAGTTCCTAATTAAAGGATGCATCTAGGCAATGATAACAAAGGACGCTAACATCAGAATGATGCTGAGACCAGAAACAACCACATATTATGAGCTTCCGAAAAGAAGACCACAGTACCATCATCCATGAAGAATTCTTACAAAAAACGAGAGCGAAACCAGATCAAGCCTCTTGGTCTAATTACTCGTTTTTAGGAACTATATGGGAAAGAGAAACAAAGTAAATGGCATTGATATATGCATGCTGTAGAGGAAATGCTACAGTCCAAAGCACTCCCTTTTCCAATAATCATATGCAAGGAAAAAAACAGAAAAAAGAGGATACCTAGAGATTAAAGGAAACTTAAGAAACACAGCACTCCCAGCATTCCTGAACCAGACTGGACAGGAGAACTCACACTCAGGAGAAGCCCTTTGAATAAAGTGCTTGTGAAACCACAGAACTAACAGTTAGTTAAAAATAAACAAATAAACATAGGAATTGACCTTCCTGGCCTTAAAGCTTGAAACTTACATTTGTCTTATCTGAGTTCTTTTCCCAGGAAACCGACCCACAGGCCTACAGCATCAAGGAACCAAAACTCTTCGGATCACCACATTCAGACGACAAGATGCCAGGCCCCTCCCTAGCTCCTGTGTACCCAATATTCTTCCTAACCTTTCCCTAATTCCTGTTTACCAACTCCTGCTCCTTAACCCTCCCCTAGTAATGTTTTCTATATTCCGGCCCCACTTGTTTGTTTGGGAAACCAAAGCAAACAAACAGAAAACACGGAAGTCTCTTTGGGCTAGGGGTGGGGGTAGGGGAGCCCCTTTAGCACAGGCTTCCCCGCACTAGGTAAATGTTGTAGGAACCGATGGGCATCAGTGTGCCAGCTAGGGTGGTTGGGGCAGGCTGCATTTGGCTTCAGTGAGTTTTTCTTGGAGACTCTTTCAATGCATTTGTCCATCTCATGATGGGTGATTTACAAGTGCACCTGCCCATACTGCAATGAGTGTTTAGCAGACACCTTATTTGATGTTTACATCCTTAGGAAATACATGAGAATTCTCCTGGACAAAAACTCTGTGAATATAAGGAACATGACAATGACTTCACTGATTTCTCTTTTTACTGTACACAAAAAAATTCACACTGCAGAGAGACCACGTAAATTAAAACAAATGCAGAAATGCTTCTATTCAATATAATACAATAGGAGAGCTGTGTTTCTAAGTCTCTATAACCCCTTAAGAGACACATGGGTGTATACACACTGGATAGAAACCCTGCAAACATATGGTGGGGGGAGAAGCCTTCACATGGTACTTCTCTCACTACCTACAAGAAAACTCATACTGGAACAAACCAGCTTCTCCTGCAGGCTTCATTTACAAGTAACCAACCACATGAGCAGAATACCTGAATACAAGATGGGAACCCCCCAAAACTGGAACTTATTCACAAAAAATTGTGTATTTATCCTCACATGTGTAAATCCGTCACCTCCAAAGTACTCTCTGTTTGATGCAATATACCTATCGAGACACTTTTCCCACTGCTCAGAACAGATTTTAAACTGTCAATTTTGATGCCGTTTAGTGCTTCTGCCATTTTTTTGGTTTCACCTTTTCCACATCAGCAAAATGTTTTCCTTTGAGAACATTTTTTTCATCCGTGGAAGAAGAAAAAAGTTGGCCAGAAAGAGATCTGGTGAATAGGGAGGGTGAGGCATGGGGGTCATGCAGTTTTTGGTCAAAAACTGTTGAACACTCAGCGTGGTATGGGCAGGTGTGTTGTCATGGTGGAAGAACCAGTCACAGCTCGGGATGTTTCTTACACAAATCATGACACAAACTTCTCAGAACTTCGATATAAAAACTTTGGTTGACCGTTTGATCCAATGGAACAATTCTGAATGTCCTACAAGGGCCCATTTGCCAAAAGATAATTGTTTCTTTGGGGTCCCTCCTTCATAGATTACTGAAAATTACACATATATCTATGAAACAAATTGCAGGATCTCCTTTTGAAAAAAATGTTATTAAATAACTTAGGTATCAGTTGGAGTCTCATTCCGTTGCCCAGGCTGGAGTGCAGTGGCACACTCATGGTCACCCTAGCATCAACCAGCTGAGTTCCGGCAATCCTTCTGCCTCAGCCTTCCAAGTAGCTGGAACTACAAGCGCGCGCTACCATGCCTAGCTAATTTTTTGATTTACTGTGGAGACAAGGCCTCGCCAAGTTGCTCAGGTGGGTCTTGAACCTGTGGGTCAGGCAATCCCCTCACTTCGGCCTCCCATAGTGCTCGGATGACAGGCTTGAGCCACTGCGCCCAGTCTCAGTATGTGTTTTTAAAAAATTTTTTCTCAGTCCTTCTCTTTCTGTAACTGTATGTATTTTAAAGAAATAAATTATATTTGAAAAATATCTTTAAAATAATCCAGACATTGAGATTTCGGGGAATTCAAATAAATAAATTTTATCGTATTAAGTAACACTGGGTAGAAAAGGTAGGAAAATATTCAGAATGCATATACCAAATTAGAAGTTTATCATTTTTGTAGATAATATAAGTAAGCATGATGGATCATTATAGAATGTTCAGTACCACAAGAAACATACTAAGTATAAATAGTATAACAGCCATAATTATAAGCAAGCTATTATAATAGCTGCACAGTCAGTACAATCTTATGAACATATAAAATACTATATCAAGTAATAAACTATATATAAAGACTATATAAAAATAGCATATTACTGTTAAATATTTTCTTTCTGAAGAAATTCATTCTTGAAAAAATTATATTTGGTCCTAGTTTTTTTTAAACATAAAATATTTTGTGAGTCCTACCAAAAAATAAGGTAAAGACTCTGTCGAAAACTGAATCCTGAAGATGTTATTATAGAAAATCCAAGAGAAAACGTACTTTATTTCAAGTTGTTTTACTCTGTTTTCCGCTCTCTTAAGGCTTAGCTGAAGATCATCTTTTGCACGCTCTGCAATCAGGCATCTTTGGTGCATTTCTTCAAGTTTTCTATAATCACTTTCATTTCCTCTGCTGTCACGGTACATCTGCAGAAGTTTATACGTTTATTACCTTACAGAAGGAACTGTCTCAATAGAGTTCAGAAACTGAAATTACTGATGAGAAAATGTCATAATGTTTTCATGCTGAAAATATACCAAGTGTTTTTTATGTTACATAGCTTTTTCTTGAAAGCTTTGATTTGACTCTACCATTTACTACTTTTTTTTTTTTTTTTTTGAGTTGGAGTCTCACTCTGTCGCCCAGACTGGA